AACGTAACGTAACGTAACGTAACCGAACCGTAACCGTAACCGTAACGTAACGTAACGTAACGTAACGTAACGTAACGTAACGTAACGTAACGTAACTACTACTACCTCTCTCTCTCTCTCTCTCTCTCTCTCTCTCTCTCTCTCTCTCTCTCTCTCTCTCTCTCTCTCTCTCTCTGTTAATTTTTTCCTTCAAAAACAAAAACAAGAGCCAAGCTCCCATCACATTGACGTTCTTTAGAAGCCCCCTTACCAACGTCCTACCTGTACCCAATCAATAGGCTATGTGCAAAGGAAGGCAAAGTCAGTCACATTACTTATTCATAGTATATGACTTTACTTGAGCATCTGGCCCTTCTTCCTACAACTTTTGGTTCCAAATAGGTCCTTACTAAGATGCATTGTCTGCTCAACAAATTTCTTTCCTTCCTATTTTTCCCTATCCTGATTCTTTGGAGAGTCACAACTTTATCAATTTATTTGGTTAATTTGGCAATAGTAAAATAGAAGGATCCTCCAAGGCTGAAGCCTCAGTGCCCAAACAACGATTGAGAATATTACAGTTCAGGTCATCAGTCGGGTGATGGTCAAGGAAAGAATCTTGGAGCTTTCATATCATAGACATCAATTATAGGCATTCTATCACTTTAATCTCCTAGCAGAAAATGTGTTGATTCTTTAAATAGATTTTCATCTCTCTCTAAATTAGTCAAATCAAATTTTGGTGGGAGTTCTAGCAGCCATCTTGATCTGGCAGGAGTTAGGGGAGATTTTTAAGAACCATGACAGGGTGATACTGTTAACATTTTCAGGTCCAGCAGACATACGCAATGCCAAAGACATAGAGATGGGAGCCTATTGGCAGGTTATCTTTGTGTGCAATCTATTTGGGTATCACCTAATAGGAAATTCAGCCAACACTATCTCATGGGAATCTAAACCAGTCGAATGCCCGCGAAGGCTAGTGAAATTTTGAGTCATGTGCAGATTTGGGGGAAGCCAATGAATTAGTAGACTATCCAGAAAGGGGAGGAACTTCAAGATCATCATGCTTAGTCACTCAATTTTTTACTATTGCTTGATTTTTTCTTTTAAATTCCAGGTTTTGGGTTTGTCATGAATACCTACCTTGCACATAATTTACACTTCTATACTAATGAAAACAGCGAACCATTCAAAGAAAAACATATATTATGCAAAAACAAAATGAGGAAAAAAAGATTTAAGTATGGGTACCAGTGTTTGTGCAACAGGCCCATTCGTACACCACATTTTATTCCCATTTAGAACATAACCACCCTCCACACGGTCAGCTTTGCATTTCATACTAACAACATCAGAACCAGCTAAAACACAATGAAAATAAATTTGAGTTAGAAACCTTAGTGGCATGTGTATTCTTTATAGAAATCAATATGGAACCTTGTAACAACAAGATGGCGTATAAACTGAAAATTAATTGCTACTTGAACTCACAATTTGGTTCACTCATTGCTAGTGCTCCAACATGCTCCCCACTGATCAGCTTTATAAAAACACAAATTTTAGTTTAGCATGTTGAAATCCTCAAAAAAGAAAACATGTCAGCATGTTGATTTTTGAAATTTTACTGGCATATATATAACATCATAGCATGTCAAGAATATATGGACCAACATGCCTCCAGATGTACACCATGAAGCAAACACAACCATAAACTATGGGACTACAATTGCGCCAAGACGTATGCTTAAATGATGCATAACCAGACACACAAGCACATGTCTTGGATATATTTGTCGGTAAAAAAGACAAGAGTGAGATAAAAAAGACATCGATGCAAGACAAAATAAATCCTATCTCTAATTTTTAGTTAATTTATTTTTATACCAATCACGAGTTTCTATTTATGGGTATTGTTTTTTTCTTTTTAAATGTTAACTTTTAGTAGCTGGAAAGAAAGGGTACAACAAGACACAAAGTTTAGGCTATCCACAGGGCGGAAGCTCCAAGTACACAGAGAAACAGATACGAGAAAAGGGGGAGGAAGAGAAGAATCAAATAGCCTTCTTTTTGCAAGTTACAAAAACAATATCCAGCAGCCCACAAAAAGACGTCGATCCAAAAGTTCGATCCTATAAGCCATCCAGAGTAGCTGCTTCTTTAGCTAGAGTGTTTGCTGCCTAGTTTGCTTCCCTCCAGGTATGCCTCCATAAGACGTGCATATCCTTGCAAAGGTCAAGCTCATAATAATATGAGCCAAAAAACGGGGGGAGAGGGGAAGAATTTGTAGCCCATGTGATGACGTTCCTGGAATCTCCCTCTATTATAAGGGAAGAGTAACTACAACAAGAACTGAAAGCTTTAGAACCTCTTCCTCAAGCTATAATTGGAACTACTACCTTTACCTGACCTTACTGGCTGTACCAACTGACTACAAAGAAGAAATACTACGACAACTCAAAGGGAAATTGGAGCTACTCTTACCTTACCTAATTGACTGACCTACTAAAGGGAGGGAAGGTATGAAGTATAAAGGCTTTTGGAGTGATAGTTGTTCTTTGCCAAATTCTACCCTGTAAGGTTGAATAAGCTTGAGTCGATCCAAAAGTGCTATCGGCTCCGCTTCCATAGAATCAGCATGGGCAATAAACTTTGAAATGGAGACAACTGTAGAGCCAACATGGTCTCTGAGAATCGCTCTAATTCCCAACGGCCTAGGATTTCCAAAGGAGCACCCGTCGAAGTTAAGCTTGAATTGGCCCTGGTCAGGAGGTCCCCAATTTGATGCCCACGGTAAGCGCTTTCGACTGTGCTGAAGAGCAGCGGCCCAATCTTGATAAAAGGCAAAAGTGGGAACCCCTTTGAAACATTTGTGATTGGTTGTCCAAAACACCACCAAGGATTTAAGCTTGACGAGGGTGTTTTACCACGAGGATTGCTCTTCTAGAAGGATCCTATTTTTGCACTCTATCCAAATAGTCAAATAGAGGCTGCCACCGCAGATTTCCAAAGCAAAATACCTGCCTTAGGCCATGGCAAGGGTTGGATGGAGGTAAGGATGAGAGAGGTACAGTGGCAGGAAGCACCCACTGGACGTTTCTGGGTATTGTTCAAGGGTACTCTTCACAGGTTACTGTTCACAGCCATACTTCTAAAAGATATAATATTGTTTAGGGTTTATTTTTTGGGCTTTTAAGTTCTTTGAGGATTCTAGGTTAATTTTTTTCTTCTATGCTTTTGGGATCTTTAGGAGTTGTTTCGAAAAGTACTTAAGACTGTTTATGGAATATTTTGTTTTATTAGGGGTAATATGTAATGTCTTTGAACATTAAATTATATTATATAAAAAAAAAGTAGGGAGTTGAGGGGGCATTCCACGTGACCTTATTTTCAGAAAAGAAAGAGTGAAAGCTTCAGCCTTTTGAATAGTAGCTTGGGTGTGAGAAAGAAACCATAGGGTTTCTCCTAGTTTTTAATAGTGTTGGCTCAATTTCTTGCTACTTAGTATTTTATTCAATTTCACTACCTCAAATTTGGTATCAGAGCTTAGGTTTTCTTCAACAACACAACCAGGAAATGACAACCAAGTCCAGAGTTCGCTAATTTTGGGCCAAATATTGCCAAATTCAGGCTAGATCTTGCTCATTTCAACAAGAGTTTTGTTGATTCTCTGCCTAAGATATGTGATTTCGGCGAGCCTATGGCAGCAAGACTGGGTAGTAGTGGAGGGGGGTGGCGTGGTTCATAGACCCACTTAGTAATCCCAAATATGAAAAAATTGAGGCCCTTAAAAGGAAAGTTAAATAACTAAGGCAGCAGTTCGTATCTATCATGGGAAGGACAATGATCTTTTCACCCAATAATATGTAGAATACAACCCTTTTCACCTCCGCGCTTCGTGTGAATAGTCACATGAAGTAGAAAGTGATAGCAGACCTAGATGTAGAGGACATCACTCTAGGGTTTTCGACATGAAGGTTGAGATATTTTTTATTTTGAAGAGGTCGTATCCAAAATCAACAGGTTGTAGATTAGGATTCGCCATCGATTTTTGTACATGCTCAAACAAAACAACAAGATATCTAAGACAATCCAATCTATGACAAGGATCAAGATGAAGATGACGATGTTTTGGAAGAGGATCTTGCTTGTGAAGAATATGGAGAGAAGGCAGCAAGGGGACTGATCAAAATCATGGTTTTTAAAGATCTCAAGGATATGGAGATTTAAGGCATTGGAATCTAACTAGTGCAACGAAAGAATGACCAACTCATTAACCACAAATTGTAGCCCTGTTTTCGTAGAGTGATCAAATATATGTGGAGAAAGCCTATAAAGGCTAAAAAAATTAGTTTGAAATCTCTTACACAATTTTCAATGCGAATTCAAGTATAGCCAAATTTGATAAGTTTGTATCAATTCCTTACTATTCATACCGATCCATTTCCTAGGGTATTCTTCTTACCACGAACAATATTTGAGCCAACAAACAAGAAGGTGGTTTTGATGCTGAAGTGTCCTTGTCACGCACCTAGAATATTTATTATATATGATATATATAGCATGCACCATAGATGTGCATTATAAAATTGGGTGAAATTTTACCATAATAGAAACCAAATCATTCAATTTTAATATTATTTACACATGAACTACTGAAAACCCATAGTGATAGTCCTATAAAAAACTATGCGAGAACGTAGGGCCATTACAAGAAAGGGAGCTGAAATTTATCCTAGGGAAAATTATGGATATCCCTCAAAATGAACTTTGTAGACATTCTACTCCCCAATACTTTTAGTATCGCACCCATAACTCAGTTAATGTTTATTCTTGCTTTTACCCCCCCAATCAAAAAGTCATTGTTTTAAAGACTAAACTACCCTTCCCCTCCTTACCCTGCCCATTAAATCCCTCAACATGTCGTCTCTCTCTACCCTCTCTCTACTTGCCCTCTCTTTCTCTTTCTACCCATCCTCCCTCACTCCCTCTCTCTACCCGCCCTCTTTCTTTCTCTCTCTACCCACCCTCTCTCTCCCTCTCTTAACCTGCCCTCTCTCTCTCTCTCTCTCTCTCTCTCTCTCTCTCTCTCTCTCTTGCATTGAAAAAATACGATCAAGCACAAAGTGTATAGGACCGGCCTCTGACTTGTAGAAATCCAGAAGCCTCGTAACCAATTTAGCACACTTTTGTGCTGAACCGGAGCTAAAAAAAAAGTGATCTAGCATAAAAGTGTGTCGGACCCACTTCTGGCTTCTAGAATTCTAGAAGCGTCGTGACCGATCTGGCACACTTTTATGCTGAACCGCAAACCATTGCGATCCGGCACAAAGGTGTGCCGGACCGGCCATGAGGCTTTTAGAATTTCAGAACCCAGAAGCCATTCCGGCATACTTTTGTGCCGGACTACCTTTTTTTGCTTTGGTCCCACAAAAGAGGGTGCTGGACCGATCATGAGACTTCTAGAAGCCAGAAGCCAATGCGACACACTTTTGTGCCAGACCGCATTTTTTCAACATGGGAGAGAGAGAGATTGATATTGGGCACAGAGAGAGAGAGAGAGAAAGAGGGAGAGGGCGGGTAGAGTGAGAGAGATTTAATGGATAAGGTAAGGGAAAGGAAGGGTATTTTAGTCTTTAAAGCATTTAATTTTTTAGGCACATTGCTGCCAAGGTTGTTAAGGCCCCCTACAGAACTCGAGTAGCCTAGTTAGGTACCAAATTTGGCCATTGCGCCAGCCTAGGCGGCAATTGTTGAACCTAGGTGCCCTGCCTGGCATCTCTCTGACAAGGTGGGCACCTCAATGCCCCCGCCCCTCTCCCAATAAAAAAAGGCTGAAAAGGGTCCTTTCAAAATCCTCAAGCTTAAAATTTAGAGTGAGAAAAAAAAAAAATCAAATTCCTACATTTGGGAGATTTTCTCAATATTAGAAAAAAGTTTGGTACTTTTTATTCTTGTGGAATTGCAAGAGCAAAAAAGATGATAGTTCAAGAGATGAAGTGGTGGAAAACGAGGTGTTTCGGCCATTGATAGATGAACAGTGACACAAGTGTTTTATTTAGTACGAGTGTCGAGTATTTAGAACATCTGCCCAAAAATTCAGTTCGGCACCAAACCAATAATATGATTATATATATTATATATATTATATATATTATATATATATATAGGGAAAATATGGGATTAGCCCACTACCGCATATGAACATATGAGCCCAACGGCCCAGATTGAATCTGGACCGATCTGACGATCACGGATGTCCGATAGTGCTTGAATTTTTTTTTTTTCTACATATTCAAATCACTTGAAATTTTAGGTATGTGTTCTTCTAATCAAGGCGCATCTAATAAAAATATAAAAACAATTATTTGCGAAAAACAAACTGACCAAAATACCCCCTGAAAGTCAATTTATTTCATATAAAATATTTTTTTGATATTGTTTTTGAAGATTCACTTATTGTTGATGAACACACGGCTAAAATTTTAAGTAATTTGGATTTGTAAAAAAAAAAAGGTAAAATTCAAACACTACCGGATAACC